CGAGAGGGGGTCTACAGGAGGCAAAGACAACACTGAGAGACACAGGGTGAGCTCCACGGGGGGCCCAAGGAGGCAAAGACAACACTGAGAGACACAGGGTGAGCTCCACGGGGGGCCCAAGGAGGCAAAGACAACACTGAGAGACACAGGGTGAGCTCCACGGGGGGCCCACCGCCTGCCCTGGGGCTGGGAGAGACACAGGGTGAGCTCCATGGGGTGGGGAGCCCACCGCCTGCCCTGGGGCTGGGAGAGGTGCAGGGTGAGCTCCATGGGGGGTGGGGGGAGCCCAACGCCTGCCCTGGGGCTGGGAGAGACACAGGGTGAGCTCCATGGGGTGGGGGGGGGACAGAGGGGGCCAACACCTGCCCTGGGGCTGGGAGAGGCGCAGGGTGAGCTCCATGCGGGGCCCAATGGCTGCCCTGGGGCTGGGTTTTAGCTGAGCCCTATCACTGCCTCAGTTTCCACATTTAGATGAGCGGCCCCTCTGAAATTCACTTAAGCCCTGTCTCACCTCCAGAACTCACTCTGGCAAGTTCCTCCTCCTCCCGCTCCTTCCCCTCCTCCCTCTCCTTCCTCCCCCTCCCCCTCCTCCTCTTCCTGGGGCTTCAGTCTTGCCAGCTCTGTCCGGTCCCAGCTGGGGGCCACCCCCTCACCACCAGGCTCCCAGACCCCAGCTAACCTCCCCGCATCTACTTATTCTGTATAACTGGGCTGTTTATGTTTCAGGCAATAATGATCACACTTCCAGCTCCACTGTGCCCCCACCCCAGTTCCCATGCGGAAGCTCTGAACCCTGTTAGATCGCGCCTGTAATTGTGAGCAGGGTCTTTAAGGAGGTGATGGAGTTAGAATGAGGCTGCAGGGGGTGTTCTACTCCAAGCTGACTGGTATTCTTATAGGAAGAGGAAACCAGGCACACAGAGACACCACAGATGCACACACACAGAGGCAAGGCCACGCGAGGACGTGACGAGAAGGTGCGACTGGCCAGCCCAGGAGAAAGACTTTCCCTGCCGACACCTTCATCTTAGACTGACAGCTTCCAGAACACGAGAAATACACTTGTGTTATTTGAGGCACCCCGCCCCCACCCACCCCCACATCATCCTGTGGTTATGACCACCACCCTAGCAGGCTCATAAAGTTTGTGCATTTCTTTAAAGATTTATTTATTTTATTTGGAAGGCAGAGTTACAGAAAGAGAGAGAGAGAGAGAGAGAGAGAGAGAGAGAGAGAGGTCTTCTATCTGCTGGTTCACTCCCCAAATGGCTGTAACAGTCAAGGCTGGGCCAGGCCAAAGCCAAGAACCTGGAACTCCATCTGGGTCTCCCACATGGATGCAGGGGCCCAAGTACTTGAGCCATCTTCCACTGCTTTCCCAGGTGCATTAGCAGGGAGCTGGATGGAAACTGGAGCAGCTGGGTCTTTTTTTTTTTTTTTTTTTTTAAGGCAGAGTTACAGAGAGCAGAGGGGGAGAGGGGGGAGGGAGGGAGGGAGAGAGAGAGAGAGAGAGAGAGAGAGAGAGGTCTTCATCCACTGGTTCACTCTCCAAATGGCTGCAACAGTTGGAGCTGGGCGGATCCAAAGCCAGAAGCCAAGAGCTTCTTCCACGTCCCCCACGTGGGTATAGGGGCCCAAGGACTTGGGCCATGTTCTACTGTTTTCCCAGGTGCAATAACAGGGAGCTGGATCAGAAATGGAGCAGCCGGGACTCGAACCAGCACCCATATGGGATGCCCGCACTATAGGCGGCAGTTCTACTGGCTACACCACAGTGCTGGCCCCAAAGCTGGGTCTTGAACCCACACTCATGTGGGATGCTGGTGTCACCAGTGGCTGCTTAACCTGCTGCGCCACAATGCCAGCCCCATAACTCTGGTTCTGATACCTGTGCCTGGAACCCCTGAATTAATTAACCGATTAAAAGTCTACTTTCAGGTAAAGACGGCTCAGTCCAGATAGGTCCAAGCCATCAAAAGAAAGCCTTCTGGGATCTGGACTAAAACCATTGTTCCCCGCAGAATAACAGAACGGATCTTCCTCTGGTTCTGAATAAAACCCAGAATGTGAGAGGCGATCAGAGTCCTCCAGGGACCCCCAGGCCTTCCGCCAGGTGCTGATGGCAACACTGCATTTTTGAGAACAGACCCCTTCCTCCGTGGGGTTCTGAATACTCCTTTTGTTTGACAGAATCATCACACATTCAACCATTTCTCAGAACAACAGCATGGCATGCAAGAGCACTTCAGAAAGTTCATGGAAAACACATTTTATGAAAAAAAGCATGAATTTCAATATTTTTGCACCAAAATAAATCTACCTTCCAGTCTCATTTTCCATGACCTTTCTGAAGTACACTTATATTTTCCAAGTTCATAGAAAAGGTACAGATACACGTCGCTCACTTGCTAACATCATCTCTCATAAATTATTCCTACCCCTGTTACTGAAAATGAAATGTGACTTCTTTTTCCTAGCGAGGTTTAGCCAAGACTGCGGGTTTTGGATCTTCACAGGTTTTTGTGTTTGTTTTTCAGCTTTGCTTTATAGCATATGCTACAAAGGGTCTGTGCCAGCCATTTTCTGTGGTGCCTGCTTCTGTAACACCTGACAAACGGAACATCACACACCACAGCCCAGCACGTGGGCTGCCAGGACCTCCAAGGGCTCCTCCCAAGAGAGATTAAGTGATCTCAACAACACAGAAAGCCAGTGGCCAGTAGGAGCAGGACCGACTCGGACCCCACCCCCAGGATGTGTCTCACACCTGCGTACTCAGGAAGGTCTCACCTACCTACACACACGTCTGTCAAAGAAGACAAAAGAAAAGCCCTAACTTGTTCTGAAACTACTGTTGTGCAGGGAACTTTACCAGGATGACGATGAAATGACCATTTGAAATACAGCACACACAGGGCACGCACCCATCAGCAAAGGGTTATGCCTACGTTTGCATTCACGTCTTCGGGGGGGGCGGGGGGGAGGCCACATATTTAAGAAAACATTTTTTCTATCTAATCTTCCCTAGCAGTACAGAAGCCCCTGTCATCGCTGATTTCACTTTCCAAGAATCCAAGTTGCTCACGATCAACTGCGATCCAAACATATTAAACAGAGAATTCCAGAAAGAAACAATTCATACGCTTTAGACCGTCGCTTGTTCTGAGTCGTGTGATGGAATCGCACACCGTTCCTGCTCAGTCCCACCAGACAGGGAGCTGTTTGTCCCCCGTGTCCATGTGTCTGCACTACCCACCGGCTGATTGCTGAGGAACCAGCTCAGTGAGCGGATGAACTGCCACACTACTGCCGTGCTCTGTCCACGTCTCCCCTACGTAGAAGCCAGCACTACATCACGCCCTGTGTCATTCACCTCAACGTCGTCGAATCAACTCTTATCACGGCAAGAACAAGAAGACTGAGTGCAGGCCACCAAGCTACTCAGAAAGAAAGGCCACAGTCACATGACTTCTGTAGTGTTTCGTTCTAACTGCTCTAGTGATTGTTGTCAATCTCTTACTGTACCTAATTTATAGGCATCACCATAGACAGGCACGTATAGGGGAAAACACTACACCATACACGTGTGTGTGTATGTGTGTGTGTGTGTGTGTGTATAGCCACACTATTTGGTACTAACAATGGGTTTAGGCATTTACTGGCAGGCAAGGGGTGGGTGCCTGCACTGTCAGTGCTTCCCAAGGCTTGGTCCTTGGCCCCCTGCCCCTCTCTCTCCCAGTCCTCACGCACTTGCACCCTCTCTTTCCGCTCTCACTCGATCACATGACTCCTAAGTCCAGGTCCAGCTCTTACTTCCTTCTTCCAACTTTCATTCCTCTTCTCCAACCACCTACAAACATGTCCATTGCAACTCCCCATGGTCACCTCAAGTCCAGTGTACTTCCGTTCCTATTCTCCAACCACCTACAAACATGTCCAGTGTCCATTGCAACTCCCCATGGTCACCTCAAGTCCACTGCACTTCCGTTCCTCTTCTCCAACCACCTACAAACATGTCCATTGCAACTCCCCATGGTCAGCTCAAGTCCAGTGCACTTCCGTTCCTCTTCTCCAACCACCTACAAACATGTCCAGTGTCCATTGCAACTCCCCATGGTCACCTCAAGTCCAGTGCACTTCAACAGGAACTTATCACTTCGTCCAGAAATCCAGTGTCCTTCACTCAGGGTTTTGTTCTTCTACCCCCGTGTCAAATACAAGCAGAGCTGTCTCCACCCACCAAAATCAGTCTGGGAGCAATTGATGGTCCTTGGCTTCGACGTACTCACCTTCCGCTCCACGAGAACCACGCGGATGTGATTAGACGCCTCGTACAAGAAAATGAGACAGCTCCTCGCTTTCCCACTTTTGAAATATTATTACCCAACCACACTCAGACATAATGGCATTCATTTTGCATGATTATTTAAATAAATATATTCAAGAAACACACAAGAAATGGCAATACTTCTCTTAATAAATAGAACAATACGACCAGACAACACCAACATCCAAATGGTAAAACACACAAATACACAAATATGGATCAGAGATGGAAGGCAGGTGGTCTAACATATCACAAAATATCCCAAAGTTGTACGAAAACAGAGCAAGACTCGATACCACAGATCAGCCAATAGAAGTCCCTGTTTTGTGGGCCCCATTCATGTATGCCATTCACAGGTGAAAAAGCTGTAAATATCCTAATCGGGCCAATACTGCCATCTCAACCGCCATATTTGCCTGTTACCAAGGCGACAGTGTCCCCAGGTGTAGATGCAGACACTGCGCCACGTGAGAACACAGAAGAACAGTAAGCAATGAGCAGCCCAGCACAGCGCGGCTCATCACGTGCAGAACACACTGACCGAGACCGGGTGGCAGCAAGTGTGTTAGTGGAGCGATGGGAACAAATGAAGGTTGTGAGCAGATGTGTGTGACAGAAGCACACCCCCTTGCGGGCTGCTGCTTCAGTGACGACATGAACGGGCACGCAGTACCTGTGATGGTCTCATTAAATGCTCCTGGACCCTTAATGGGAAAACCATCAATCTTGATCCATTCACCTCCTAAATTAGGGAAACGCAACTTGATAGTTAGAAACGAGGACTATTGGGTTTTCATAGTTCAGTGCATCCCTCACATATGCTTAGATGGTCTCTCATCAGCTCGGGCCACACCTGTCGCTCCACACCTAAGCTTTATTAAGGACAGAACATAGCTTTGGCCCTCTGTACAAGGCTGACTCTGTGAGTTTGCAAAAACATTCAGGCAAAATGTGAATCACTGTGTTACACCTGCTTTAAAAGTAGGGACAAATCTAGTTCTCAATCTCCCAACTTGTTGCACATAACCAAAACGTTCTTGTTCAGAATTGTTTACTAACTCAAAATTTATATGGAGTGGAGCAAGTGAGGAGGGAGGTGTCTCCTAATCTAAGCAGCCTCCGATGCTGGTTCAGACTTACCAGGCAGGCTCTCAGCTCTGTAAACGGGACGGCTCACTCCACTGTGGTTTTCTGCAGTAACCAGCACAAAGTACACTACCCCCGGCTCTGAAACACACGGTTCGTATCAAGCCACTGTCGCAAATCTCCAGGAACAACACAGTTGGATTTGCTAACCGTCTTCCTTATCCCAGTTACCATCAAACACAAAAATCTGAATCGAGCAAGAAGTCTGACAATAAGCTTTCTCTTGTTTCATTAAAATCACCTCTGTTCTTCTCACACCAATAAAACGCAACCAACCCAAAGACACAGCCTTTGTCTGGTACCGGTACACGGCATGTGCAGTAAACATGGCCTCCCAAGCTTTGCAGACGTTTCAAGTGAGTTTGATGTAGGGAAGAGGACAACACTGTCCACACAACAGGTGTTTGCATACACAGTGTCAGTTCCATTGAGTAATATCTCCCCTCAGAAGTTCCAAATGGAACTCTCCAGTAAACTAAGAAATGTCAGCGTGAACTCGTAAAATTTAGCACACGGGAAGTCTTCATTGCAATGCATAAAGCCTCATCAAATTATCTTTTTCACAATAAAAAGTTCCCTTTACTATGTCTGCCTGTTCTTTTGAACATTTCAACACCAAGTCAGAAAATGTAATTCTTTGGAAACGTTAAGGTTAAAACAATCGATTGGGCTTTGCTTTTTAACTTTGTCTAGAGATCAAGGGCAAACAGCCCAGAAGGCTTTGAGCTCCTGAAATTGTTAAGTGGTAAAAGGAAACCAAGATGCCATGTTACAAAGACAGGCTTGCAGCTTCAAAGTAGCACCTGCTTTTCTCAGACTGGATCGTCACCTTGCACCAGGTAAGGGAAGGTTCCCATTCCTCGGGCAGACGGAAGTCTGGGCATTCTGGGGGAAGACGGGTTGGAGCGGTGCCAGGTGGTCCTGTCCAAGGTAGCACTGGGGACTGCACTCCTCAGTAAGGAGCATGTCTTTAACGACACTCCACTGGGGAGCTGTCCCCGGCCACCACCATCCGGGACCTGCTCTGCTCCAGCCCTGAGTGACTTCTGCCTGACCAAGGCAGGGCCTGGTGGCACTGGGGTTTGGCCCAACCCGCAGGACCAGGTGGGGACACTCTCCATTCAGACAGCACCAGACAGGAGGCAACAAGCATGCTTCACTCGGGGCTGCTTGGTAGTTCAGGCACATGGAGCCACGGCTCTGATTCCCACGTGGCTAACTCATCAGAGAGCTGCCAGGGAGACACCATTTGTTTTCCAGTGAGTTCTCTGTAGCACTTGCTTCACATGTTTCTCTTCCACAACCCACGGTTTGAGCAAATAAATGTGACTGCTCGTGCCATCGGCCTGACAGTGGGATTTTGCAGGACGAAGGTGATGTGGAAGACATCCAGGGAAGCATATGTGTAGCTGCGGCCAGGAGGAAGGGAACCTGGCCTTTTCCATCTTTCTTTTATACACTTTCTGTTCCACCTGCATAAATTAAAATGCAGGCATTCAGAAGGAACAAGTGTGGGAGGCAACAGCCGGGGGACCGGGCGGAAGACAATCCACTAAGGGATGAAAACGCGAATGCGTTCAGGGAAGACCTGGTCTGCTGCAGGTGGGCTTCTGTTACTCCCTTAGGGTCCAAGTTGAGGTTGGACTGCAACACGATGGGAGAACCCGCGGACTTACAGGCTACTGGGGTCAATCGGAAGAAGAGAGTCCAGAGGAGGAGGCCGAAGACCCAGCCCGCCGCCATCAGCAATACAGATTAAGGCAGGGCTGGAAATCCTCCCAACTCCCAGAATCAGGTTAAAATCAAACATAAACAGGAGAAACACTGCATCTTTACCAGGTGTGGCTGGACATGGCTGACGACACACACCTTTGCAGGGACATAGTACTGAGTAACGGTTCATGATCAGAAAATATCTAGATGAGGCTACCAAGCTGTCTCGTGGTCACATTGCTATGAGACAAAAAGGGGAATCATTTCCCAAAGCACACTCAGAAGCTAGAAATGGTTTGCTACATTAACTTGGGGAGAGGGATACTCAAGGTCAAATGCACCGATGGGGGAAACCCAGAGCCAAGATGAAGCCAAGAGGCACAGGGCTCAAGAGAGGCTGAGAGCCCAGCTCCCTGCTCCCAGAGGGCTCGGGAACCCTGAGCTCCGCTGTGCTGTTGGCCAACAGCCACCCTGAGTGCGAGAGTGAGAGAGCAGGTGCACGTCACTTACCCACATCCTCAGTAAGGAAGGAGGATGCCTCCGCATTCACCTTGACGTACTTAAGGCTTTTCAGTGACTTCCCATAGGCAATGTTGTAATGCTCCACGGGTCTACTGGCGGCATCTCTGGGTGGCTCCCACGTGACCTTCAGGCCTAGCTTACTGGACAGCAGTTTCACGCGCCTTGGCTTCAGTGGGTGGTCAACTATGCAAACAGCGCAACTATCAACTCAACAGCAAAGGCACATTGGGAAAACGAACTGTTCGAGTGGCCCCCGACATGGCTAGCAATAATAATATAATAAGAATACTCGGGTCATGACATTTCCTCTGCATGACCCTGGAGAGTTCAGGTACAGGCAGGTTTGCACAGTGTCACAGCAAAACAAACAGACCAGGCCCACAAGTCTGCCTGTGCTTTGCACAACTGTGGGTGGTAACTTCAAACCAAAAGGGGAGCAAATCAAAATAAGCTCAGGGTTTTCTATGCCTTGATTACTGGTTCTTGCCAGGGCAAGGATAACAAACTAGTAATTTGAAATGGTCTCATATCAATCAGGCTCTTAGTATTTTGCATGATAAAACCGAGCAATCTTTGGAACACCTCTGATACAAAATGATCACGATTAGGAAGAACATCTACTGTATTCAAAGGGAGACAACCCAAGCTCCATTTCCACAGGAAAACAAACCAAGATCATCATCATCAACTTAAAAAGGAAGGAAAACTCGGGGTTTGTCTGCATACGTCTAATTTAAATGTTTCCATGTTCTACCTCAGAAGAAAAATATGTTAAAAGTGCCATTACATTTCCATCTTAAGTTATGATGTTCTAGAAATATATATTCTTGATTTTCAAAATTATCAAAAAGAAACAAAGTATTTTGTCAAACAAAATCCTTCAGTTCACTATGTAAATGATACTGTAATACAATATAATGTAAATGTGCTGAATATTCATGCAACAGTCATATTCTGGACAAAGTTGGATCTGAAACGGACTCTCCAATGATGGAAGGCTCCTCAGTATAGAGAAACATAATCTAAAGACAGAAAACATTTACACTTACTAACGTTTAGAAAGATGCGTTTGCAATCCCATTCTCACAAGGTACAGAGAGGAAAATGTTTCACGGTGACAACTCCATCAGTTAGTGCACAAGTTTAATGCTGTCTGAAAATCCATACCCAATAAATACTGATTCTAACATCTCTCATCCTCATTCCTCCCAAAACTTCCCACGGCCTCTGGAGTAAAACAGTTAGCAAAGGAGAGAGCTCCCGAGGGAGATCCAAGGGATAAACAAAGGGAGTGGAGGAGGCTCAAAGCCCGAGACAAAGAAGGTCCCCCTCAGCCACGCAGCGCAGGGCTGTGTGCACGGACCCAGATGCACGAAGCATGCTCACCTGAGACCTGAGCGGCAGCACCCACGGGGGGCCACCTGCAGCTCTCTGGCAGGTGACCCAGTGTGAGTAGCCTGGGCTAGAAAGACAACACCCCAATGCCTCCCTAGGCATAAAAAATGAGTGACCATGGCTGCTCGTCTAGAACTTTCTTTAACCCGCCCTTCCCTACAGAAAGGCTCCCAGGAACCCATCCCAGGAATCCAACATCTCACACTGGCCAAAAGCAGTGTAAAAGCAAAACAAAGCTGCTGGAAACTTCAAGGGGGGGCCCTCCCAGGCAACTGATGTGTGAATGGGGAAGGCTGCTTTCACAGCTCAGCCCCAGGACCCCATCTTGAACAGACACTCTGCAGTGAGAGGCCCGTGAGGCCAAGCAGTCACATTTCCTGCTAGGTGCCAGCAATTCAGAGCACAAGGAAGCCAAGGCGAGAAGCATTGTCCTTCTATTACTGAAGAAGAACAAGTGGCAGGTGCACTCCCTCTTCTCTGCCGTGCCTTGCATGTAGCCGTGGACCCAGAACAGAATAGTGCTTCACACACTTGAGGATCCACACGCCAAAGGGGTGCACCTGCCCAGTGTAAAGGGAGCCACACAGACCTTCCAGGAGCTCCAGCACATGAACAAGAAGGGCAAGGGAGACCCACCACCTGGGGCTGCCAACCCCTGGTGAGTATTACACCAAAGTTCCCAAGCTTGTCCACGCATGAGTTTGCCTGCTCCCCTCTTACCGATGCCCAAGGCACCAACAAATGTGCCTCAAGTCAGCAACTGCCCGTGCCAGCGTTTGTGTGTGAAGGAAAAGGGGTTTGGTGGACAGCTGCTCTAAGACACAGGGCAACGGGGGAGTGAGCCGGGAGGGAAAAGGCTCAGAGCCTACAACCTGGCACCCTCTCTCCTAAGCACTGAAGCTTTCATGGCACGAGAGTCTTAACACATATCCAGGAACTACTTCTTCCTCCAAATGACTGATGAGGAAATCAAGTCCTGAACAGAGATGCTAGGGCAACTGCCCGGAGCCACAGACCTGCACCAGGGATGTCCCCCGTGTCCATGGTGTCTACACTACCCACCGGCTGATTGCTGAGGAACCAGCTCAGTGAGCGGATGAACTGCCACACTACTGCCGTGCTTCTGTCCACGTCACCCCTACGTAGAAGCCAGCACTACATCACGCCCTGTGTCATTCACCTCAACGTCATCGAATCAACTCTTATCACGGCAAGAAGAAGAAGACTAAGTGCAGGCCTGATATTTAACCTTGACATTGACAAGAGGACATCACGCAAGGCTAACTCAGAGGGAACTGGACACAAAGGAGACGCATCTGGGAGGTGAACCTGCAACTGGGTGGTCTCTCCCAGTGGCTGGTGTGTGTGTGTGAGACCTCACCTGCCTCTCCCTCACCCTCCCACTCTGCTCTCTCTCGACACCAGTGCTGACCACAAACTCGGGGCGCACTTAGATGGCTGGTAGTTTGCAGAAGCAGATGTCAGACTCACGAGACCAACCCAGGGGTGTCCGGCACAAACCCGAAAGCGCCAGGAAGACAGAGAGAATGAGGACCCGCGTCGATGAGGGCATCTGCAGAGAGTGTAAGCTCCATCACACAGCGCCTGGTAGCTTCAGGCACCTGTCGACAGGAAGGAATGCAGGCCCCAGATCCGCCTGTGCGCTGTGCTTTTTTTCTAAGAGGCTGGAAATCTTGATTTTTATGTGAGGTTTTCCAGTTATATAATAACGTGATTAATTTAATGTCTAAAAAACACTATGAAAGAAGTTGTGGAAAATGAAATTGAGATAAGGCTACTGTGGTACAAAAAAAATATTAAATCCAGGCACTGTTTATTCATAATATGCGTTTCCACGACCTTCCTGAGTGCCCTTCTCATGCAGGGAAACGCAAACACATCAGATGCGCAGACTCCGACGACCGGCAGCCAGCCAGGGACCTCCACCTTCAACCCAGATGGGAAACTGGCATTGCTCATCCAGACGACCTCCCCACGGCCACTTTCAATCCTGAGGGTCGTGTGAGTCTGAGACTGTGACGTCCACACATGAAGATGACAGAGTGTGCAGAACTCTGACTGTCCCAGCCCCCGGGGCACCAGGTACAGAGCTGTCCAAGGACTCAGATCCCACAGCCAGGCCATGTCCCTCCCAACAGACTCACTGAATCTGAGAAAGCTGGCCTGGGGCTCCAAGAAGCAAGGAAGCCCCCTCCCCAGGATGGCTGGAGGGAGGGGACAGAGAATTCTAATCAGCACACGTCTACCTCTGGCCTCGCCATTCCAGATCAACACAGTCCCGAGTGAGGCTGGAACCTGAGAATGGTCCAGACGCAACTGCTAGCTAAGTGCTCCGATCCTGGTTCAGACATCAGCCCCTCCCACACAGCCGAGTGGGATGTCCGGGGGGCTCCTGACGCCTACAGGCAAATCCACAGGGAACCAAAACAAGCAGTTTTCCTCCATGGGGAACTCCATCAAGGGCTGCTCCTCAGAACGAAGAGAAGGCAAGTTTGGAATCCGTTACTAAAAGGAATCGATGGTAAGAGTGACACCATGACAAATGCTGGTGGAGAAGGCATGCTTAGAAAACTGATTCAAAAATAGGATCTCCGGAAGCAAAATGCTGCTCTTGTCTGTTGACTTTCGTTCCATTTTTTGGAAGATTTATCTATTTATTTGAAAGGCAGAGTAACAGAGATAGGTCTTCCACCCACGGGTTCACTCCCCTAAAGCCTGCAAAGGCCAGGGGTGGGCCAGGCCAAAGTGAGGAGCCTAAAACTCCATCTGGATCTCCCATATGAGTGGCAAGGTTCTAAGCACTTGATCCATCTCCCACTGCCTTCCCAGGCACATTGGCAGGGAGCTGGGTAGAAAGAGGAGCAGCTGGGTCTTGAACCCACCACCACATGGATGCTGGTGTCACAGGCGGCGCCTGTACCCATTGAGTCACACCATCCCTGTTGTTCCACCTTTTAAAAACGACATATACTTACTTCATTGAGCTCTCCAGGTGTGTAAAAAGAGAAAGGAAGGTAGATGGGAAGCAGAGGTGAGAGAGACTTACAAGGAGAAGCGAGGAAAGAATGGCCTCCTAGCAGGTGCATTCCTTTGAATCAACTCCATCCTAATTTTGAAGCTGAGTTTAGTCGAACACGCTACACCCTGAGAGTGCCGGCACACAGCGAGCGCTCAGTACCTACCAGGAGAAGGAAGGAATGGTCTGCATTGGACGTACAGTCAGTACCTCCAGGGACGATGCAGCAGCGGGCGAGCAGGCGCACCTCTTCACACGCCCGTGACTGTACTGAGTCTGCGCTACCACCAACCGTGGTCGGAGGACAACAAAGCTAAGGTCCACAGCAGAGGGAGGAAACCCCCAACACCATGGCGACGAGGAGCAGCCAGCTCTTCGCTGGGGCAACTACTGACGCAGGAGCCACAAGGAAAACAAATACCATCTCGTCTTTGATTTCTCTGCCAGGGACTTTACTGAAAGAAATGAAGTAACTACAAACCAGTGTGTTTTGCTCTGAAAAACAAGTCTGAAAAATACATCTGCGTCACTCCTTGAATTTTTGTGTCTGAGTCTTAGAACCCATCCGTCACATCGCACTTAGCAAGTGGGAAACATTTGGGCAAGCAATAAAAAGGGATCTGTAGGTTTCTCCTGTGTGGGTAAATAACAAATCCCATTTCAGTTTTAAATTCCACCCAATTCAATGTTGGAAGCAGCTTCCCCTGACTTTAGTGGATGGAGCACAGACATACTCATTACGGGCACCTGA